GTGACCAATGTTCCCTCTAATTTTTCATGTGTCTGAGCGAACACACAAACTCCCTGAGCGATCCCGTGGACCACTGTGAGCAACAGCAGATGTGTGCACCGTGGTCACGTCAGCATCAAATCCATCCAAGTTACATGGTTTATACCTGGTACACCTATCCTATCACAACGTATTATTGTTCATACTGTTGAATGCACAAGGCATTCAGATTCATATCTGAATATGAAAATATATATATTTTTTTATATTTGTGGAATTAATCCAGAAAGATTTCAGTTGAAATAATTTGATTTCATCCAGAGAATATCTAGTTCAAAACCATGCAAATTACCATGATGGCACTTCGGTCCATTACACTGGAAACAGACATGTCACCCAGAGTGTAAAACAAACTAGTTACTGACGGGTATACAAAACAGACTTTAAATAGAAGAACCAATTTAATTCCACACATACTGTTAAGTGATTCAGAGCTGTGCTTACCAGTGGACGAATGGGATTCCAATTGAAGACGAGTCCAGAGAATCACCAGTTCATACGTACACACACACACACACACACGTACAGGTCAAACCAAGGGTACATAAGTAATCACAGCGTTAACCCTACTGCAGAAATACACTGGTGATCTGCAGCTAATAACAGGGCCTCCTTCCAGTGGTGAAACAAAATTAAGAATTGACAAATTAATCATGTATCAGAAATCAAACATGCAGACACCAAATAAATTAAATCCTCAGTTTAGAGCAGTTGACCTATTTATTAGTACTGTCCACCAGGACAAAGACAAGTGAGCTTCTGGAAAGCCTGTCTGCCTGCCTGCAGAGGGACATAACAGACTTTCATATAAACCATATACGTCTCAAACACTATTATAAAAAAGGCGACTTAAAAACCAGAGTAATGCACAAAGATCAAACATTACAGGTCACCGCGAAATTCAAGTCAGCTCTTCTTGGGGACACAATGTTCCTGCTTTTCCGGGCCATCGGGGGAAAACCCCCAAAAGTAATTGATATTGTGAAGACTAACATTTTTTTTCTAGCTAAAGCTCAGTGATTGTGAGCAGGTGATAAACTGTCATGCCAACTCTACCTTTTCTGCTTCACATGAACAGATGTGTGTTTGCCTCCTTAAATGTGTTTTGCATGATTTTATGCCTCACTGCTCCTCAAGGTTTAAGTTCTTCTGCTACTGAGGGTCTGAACTGTTCGTTCACTCACACTGAAAACTGCATCAGGATGATTTTTCCAATAACTCTGATTATTATGTTCGGTTTTCTGAGTCAGGGTGAGAGATTTTTATTTTTGTTTTATTTTTTAATTCTGTCTGTGCTGTTCATGTTTCTCTGATTTAAAAAGATCAATTTGTTGTTTTTCATTTCTCAAGACTAAAATCACTTTATTTTTCATTTCAGAGTCGTTTGCCAACAATTTTCTGACTCAAACAGATAAAGCCAAGTCTGTCCGTCTTGAGGGGACTGTGACCATCAGTGCCACAGGGAGTTCAGATATTGGTGATGATCTTAGTTGGTACCTTCAGAAACCTGGACAGCCTCCCAAACTTCTTATATATGATGCATCAACTCGCTTCTCAGGAACTCCGTCTCGTTTCAGTGGCAGTAGATCTGGTTCTCAATACACTTTATCCATTAGTGATATTCAAGCTGAAGATGCTGGAGATTATTACTGTCTGGGCTACCATAGTGATAGCACATTCACACAGTGGTTTATAGCTGTACAAAAACCTCCTTCAGTCTGGCTGAAGGCTGCAGCTGCAGAGTGTAGGAGAATATCTGGTTCACTAAACACAACATGAATCATCAACCACAAACACAATATATCTAAACAAAATTACACAGCTTTGTAGTTTTAACTCAAATTTATATATTTGCTACAGCCTCTAAATGTTTGGCTTAAAGGAACCCAGCATTTAAAACTGCTGCCATTTAATCGCCTTTTAATAATCGTAACATAGTTATTCACAAAGGACAGACTGTAACAGAAAGATGACTATGAACCAACCATGCAATGGGCCATTAGATTCAGTCTACTCCCATGAACAAGTTCTAGAAAACTAGAATAATAGGTGTAGGATATCTAAGTCGATCAGCAACAGTAGAAAAGTTTTTACAGAAACCCACAATGCCCAAAAACCAATGCAGCTCACGCCTGGATGAGGGCTGGATATGGCACACATTTTAACATTGGATACCCTTCCTGACGCACCCTTATTCAGGGATTTGCGCTATACACAGTCTTGAGCTACACTGTGGTACAACTATAAATCATACAGCCAATATATTAAACCACATTAAACCAACCACAAATTGTTGTCAATACTTTACAGGTGTATTCTCTCATGCACAAAGTTTTAGCTTCATTTAAAATACGAAAACTCACATTGATCAGCACATTAACTGTGTAATGATACTGTGGTCAGAGAGATTGAAGTGAGAAATTGGAGTATACTGTGATAATATACACCAAATGTGTTGTTACATCTACTTTTGTGATGAAAACAAAATGTGTACAGGAAAAGTTAAACTTCCACATCTGTTTGTTTCACTTCCTTTTTGCTACTTACATGTAAGACTGACGAACTGTAAATTCCTTTAAAGTGCATCTGTATGAAAATTCATTTTTTCAGTCTAAGAGCCTGAATGTCAAAGATTTCTAAAAAACCTCCTTCATTCTGGCTGAAAGATGCAGGTGCAGAGTGTTGGACTGCAATGAGAATGACTGGTCCACTAAACACAACACAAGCATCCCCCCACCTCAAAATGTACAACACATACAGTACATTAACACAGTAGTGACAACAAAGGTCAAATGTTCTGGATAAATAAACCAATCAGAAAATGGTTGAGATGATAATTTCTGAATTTACTGGATGATACTTTAAGTTTGAATTTCAAAAAACGAATTACATAAAAAACACAATTGCTGGAACTGTTCACGAAACATCAACAGAAAATACTTTTAAAAATGAATATTGATCTCAGACCCTTTGCACAATGTACATGAAGTCTGAGTTAGAGAATTGATCAATCTATTTGATGCTGTTCATCATTATTCAGATGGAGGCACCAGCAGAAATCTAGAGAGGCTGCAAAGCTCTGCATACAATATGCACACAAAAAACCCTTCCACTTCTAATTTTCTTTACCACTATGTAATGCCACCTGTATTATGAGTGCAGATCTGATCATTTTTAAAAGTATTATATTTTCACCAAATATTTTTGGAAATTTTTTTAAGAGTCTATTTAGGGCTGCTCCTACTTGTGGCCAGTGGCATTAATGTGTACACAGTTCTATGAAATCCAAAATCCAAAACACTTTAATAATATTGTCTTGAATACTGAGAGGAAGGAAAATAAAAAACAACATAATCAGTTCATTTCAATGTTGAAACATTAATACTGATGGCAAGAGAAGGATGGTGTACAGGCTTGGTATGCCCATATACTGAGGGTGTGCTGTCTGGCAGAGACCTCAGTCAGTAAGATCTTGACAATAATCCAAGGGAAGCTGGGGATTTTAAATATGAATGAACCCTTTTGGGTACTTCAGTGTAGAACTCCTATCATAGACATGGTGTTAAGTCCCAAAAGGTTGATTCTGTTCATCTGGACGTAACATTTTCAGTGGGAGAAACGTTTCATCACTCATCCAAGTGACTTATTCAGTCTCAGCTGACTGAAAGTTTCCCCAACCTTGTAAAACAGTACATTCGCACAATGACTGAAACTAGGCCACTGAATGAACTATGGGCTGTGAGGTCAGTTCTTTGATCATTAATGATCATTAAGATTTACTTACCTGGCTGATTGAGCATGCATCAAGACACATGGTGTCAAGCACTTTTCACCTCCAGCTGCTGAGATGAAATCAATATGTCAGTCTCTAAGTTAATGTTGTCAGCACTCTCACACAAAAGCTTTGGTTTGTTCGACAGACTTTAAACCTATTATTGCTCATGCTCTCCACACTGTGAGCTCCTGTCCTGGACTTCAGAAAGACCCTCCACTGTGCACACTGGCTCTTGCTGAGATTCTGGGGGATGATGAGTAAACTGACCCAGGACTATGACAGAATCAAAGTTGCATGATAACCTGATTACCTGAGTTTTAAGTTTAGACTTGAAGGAATTAGGTTGTGCATTGCCCTCTTCTTTTTTAAAAACACACCAAAAATTTGAGTATTTTTATATTTTCTACATTTCTAATGTCAGTCCTCCAAGAAGAGGAGTTTAGAAGTTTTAAAATATCTGTAATTGTCTGTCTTTCTGGTATACAACAAAATAAATGCCAGCATTTCTGAGCCAAATAGAGATGTTTGGATGTGGATATATCAGAGACACAATGGGACCCTGTTGAAACAGTTAAACTGGAAACAAGTAAAAAGTTTGCCGACCTTCGGTGCAAAAACAGTAAGCCGTAGGAAGATTCAAAGTTCAGATTGTGGTTTATGTGTATATAAGACAGTACAAAACCCAAGGCAGGAAAAGTTGTGGTTATCGCAACAATCACGATTGGCTATCATTAGTATCAAACTATCGGCCTACGAAAGCAAAATTCATGTGGCAGGTTAAATGATACTGAATATGTTTATTTTCTTTTTGGCTGGGAACCATGTTGGCTTTTCTGAATTGGAGATGATAGTTTTAAAAAAACAAAAATGTCTTTCAGTCTTTCACTGAAGGCTGTAGGTCCAGAGTGTCGATGAAGAGACTGTGATGAGAATGTCCATTAAACACAACACAAAAAGAGTCATCAAGCAGAAGCACAAAGAATAATAAAAAGTGAAACTCATGGTTTTTACATGAAGGATTAACTTACATTTATCTCATAAGAATTATTGTGCAAGAAATATATATTGCAATGACAACCTTGTGCAATAACCTGTAATTTTCTTACATACTTAAGCCAAAATTAGCTTGCTATTTTTTAATAACAATGGTATTACTGCAGACTCTGAAAATGATATTTTGAATATGAAACAAAAAACAAAAATGATTTTTCATGAGCTGTGATTTTATTTTGTGATGAAGACTTTTTTTTCTTTACAGCATGATTTTAAAGCACAATATGGAAAAGATTAGCTGATGAAATCTGAATGCACATCAACAAGAGTCAAACATCTGCAGAAATATCGCAACAGCAGAAACATGTAGCTTCATCAAATTATAAAACACATCATTTGCAGACAGGAAGTGTTGCTGAAGCTCTACTCTGAGCACTGGTCAGTGTTCAAGGTTTGAGTGACGGGGCTCTGTCCACTCAGACTGGCCTCACAGCTCACTGAGCCCGCCTTCTTCCACTGGTCTACAGAGAGGCTCAGGGTGCTGCTCCAGCTGTAGTGGCCATTTGTTTCCAGGACCTCCAGGCTGTTTGACACACCTGAGGATGTGCTGGTGCCCCCCATCTTCCAGCCCAGCTTCCAGTTTGAGGGGAAGCCCCCGGTGGCCAAACACACCACAGTGGCACTACTCTGCTTCTCCTCCTCTTTGGAGGGAGGGAGGATGGTCAAGGTGGGCTGCACCACACCCACTGGAGGAGAGAAATGGGAAGTAGAGAGGGGAAAGGAGTTTACAAAAAAGTTACAATTAAAGCAGGTAAAAACAAGTAGATGAAGCTAAAATAGTAAAAGTAAAATCTTTAAATTATTTTCATAATGTTTTACAGTTAACAACTCATCCCCGTCTTATCCCAGAAATGTTATCCTGTTCATCTGGATGTAGCATTTTCAGTGTGAGAAGCGTTTCATCATTCATTCATCCAAATGATTTCTTCAGTTTATTGCAGGTTTCCCCAACCTTAGAAACAGTATATTTGCTTAAAGCATCTTACAATACTGTTATTGCAATTATTCCCAACTTTCTGCAAATGATTCTCATGGCACTGATCAGTGGCAATGACAAGTTGTATATTAATGTTTGTGAAACTGACCTCATGGCCCATTGTTAGTCAGTGTCGCTGGTCATTATGAAAATGGATTCGTGACAAAATATTTCCCCCACTGAAAACTCTACGTCCAGATGAACAGAATTAACTTTCTTGGATTTCCCTACCTAGATAATTGAGCATGCATCAAGACAACCCTGTGACAATTTCTTTAAGTTAAAGTGACAAAATTAAGACACTTGGGTGACTACGGTAAAAACATTGCCATCTGTTTCTTTCACTTCCTTTAAACTACTTTTGAAATAAATGAACCATAAACACAAAGATGATCTGCATTTACTGATGAATTCAGTTTATATTTTTAGAAGTCTGTAAATACACTTTTCAAGTAACAGTTACTTTAAAAAAAAATTTAAAAAGATGTTACGTTAAATATTATGCTTTTGTGTTACAGTTTGAAAGAGTTGTAATTCCTATGAACATTTTCATAAGAAAATGCTAAAACAAAATTAGGTCATATTAAAGAGAAATGTAAAAATATAGACAATATATACATCTATCCATTTGTTCTCTTTCTCTTATCCAGAATATGAAAAGAAAGAGAATCTAAATACATTTTCAGTAAATTAAAATACTGGTAGCAATGAATGAGCGCTGAGCTCAGTCAAGTTCAGAAATCAACTTTGTTTTATAAATCATAAAAATGATCAACAACAATCACTGAACTTATCATATGTCTCTTCACCATTTTATGAAACACGTTTTAAATGGTTCTATCTGTGCAAAGTAAAAAATTTATAGTACTTACAGTCGACGATTAGTTTGGTCCCTCCACCAAAAGTCCACCACAGTGATACAAACTCATTAAGTGGCTGTACAAAAACCTCCTGAACATGAAACTCATTACTCAAAATCACTTTTATGTTCAGAATCACTCAATACTTTCTTATAAATGACCAAAATGCATACCTTATGTTATATTAAAGTTTTTAATGACATGGTTTAGAAATTATTTTTTTAATTTTTTATGTATTTACCAATTTTTTTAGTTCTACATTTCTACAGCAGAAAATGACTGAACTGCAATTGAAAAGTGTCATATTCTCACTTCTAAGTAAATTGAAACACAAACCATTGTTGAAATAAAATTAACATCATGCCATAAAATGCTATTAATCTTCAATATGTCCTGTAAACAACTTAAATCCAAGGGAAAAAATTTATAAAATACAGAATGGAACAAAACTTTACCTGCTCTTCTTTTGCTATAATCTTTTGCTATAATCCATTATCATCATATTTAGTGTAAATCTATGAAGAGTTTCTTCTCATTATTTGTAACTTGTCTTCTGTGTGCTGAGACTAGAAAAAATAGTTTCTATAGAGGGGAGGGTTTGCATCATCAGCTGATCCTCCAGAGAACTGAGAAGCTTTATAGTCCTGTGACTTCAACACTCCAGGACTCACATCTGTCAGTCAACACAGCAGAAAGCACAACCACCATGACTCTCATCACCATCCTCATCTGGACGCTGGCCTGTGTCAGGAGTCAGGATTATTTAGAAGTCAGCCAAAACCCAATATAACTCAATGTTTTTGCTATTTCAGTGACCACTGATATATCTGAGGGAACATTTCAGTTATTAGTATTTGTATGTACAAGACCAGTGTTGGGCAAGTTACTTTGAAAAAGTTATTAATTTTGGTACTAATTACTTCTTCAAAAAAGTAACTGAGTTAGTAACTGAGTTACAAGATTCTAAAAGTAATTAATTACTAGGAAAAGTAACTATTATGTTACTTATAAAAAAATGTTTAACCCTCTGGGGTCCAGGGTATAACTGGCCGTTTTTGACTACTTTTAATTTTACCTCTACATTGCACCTCTAAAAACTATTTACTTTGCCTTGTTTGGTATCATTCTTTTCAGCACAACCTCACGTGTCTGAATTTACAGTTATGTTTTCATTTTGACCTACTGAATTAGCACAACTAATCTAAAATCAGACAAAAAACATAAACTCTGAGTAGAAAAGTTATATTTTTTACTGTAACAACCACAAACACACTAAATGTCACAAATCTCTCACATCTCAAAACTCGCTCACGCTGTCTCTTTTTTCTGCTCTCTTTCTTTCTCTCTCTCTATCTCACCACCACTCCTAAAATTTCCCCCTCTTCCTAAACAAGAAAATGTCATGTTGCCATATCATTTTTTGATTGGTCGACATTGTACATTTTTCCACCAACATGAAAGTGGTGTTTTTTGCTTTGTTTTGTTTTTTTTAATTTTTTGGTCATAAGCAGAGAGTGCTTGCTAGCGCTGCCCTTGGAGATTAAACGTGACGAAAGTATTTAGGAAAAAACACCGCGAATATATTGTTATCGTGACGCTGGTTTTACAGGGCACTGGTATATAGTACCTTGTTGCTTTGTCATCTTGAAGTGGTCATGTGATTGGTTTAGAGCTGAGCCTTCAGGCTGATGATGCAGGAGATTACTGCTGTATGGAGTGTATGACAACCCTTTATCATGCGCATATTGATAGAGAGCCATACAAAAACCTCCCTTAGTTACTGTCAGTGCTGCAGCTGTGACATGGATGCCTGGTTCACTGAGTCTTCTTGAATCTTTTCTCTCCCCCTTTCCTTTTGCTATTTCTCCAGTTTCTTCTCTCATCTTTTGCCAAT